CTTTGAGACCAGCCATGGGCATCAGTAGACTGGGAGTTATACACGGACGGGAGCAGCTTCATCAACCCACAAGGAGAAAGATGTGCAGGATATGTGGTGGTGGTAACTTTGGATGCTGTCATTGAAGCCAAACCGTTGCCACAGGGCACTTCAGCCCAGAAGGCTGAGCTTAAACTTGGGCTCTAAAACTCAGTGAAGGTAAGACTGTAAACATCTACACTGACTCTCAATATGCCTTTCTAACCCTCCAAGTGCATGGAGCATTATATAAGGAAAAGGGCCTGTTAAAGTCTGGGGAAAAGGACATAACATATCAAGAAGAAATTCTACAATTATTAGAGGCAGTGTGGAAACCTCAGAAGGTGGCAGTCATGCACTGCATGGGACACCAGCAAGCCTCCACCTCAGTGGCCTTAGGAAACTCTCGAGCTGATTCAGAAGCTTGAAAAGCAGCATCTACTCCTTACTGGGCATTGGTAGCAGCTCCCTTACTCCCTCAAACACCTGACCTGGTACTTTCCTATTCTAAGGAAGAAAAAGACTTTTTCCACAGAGAAGGGGGCAAGTAATAAAAGGAGGATGGATCATACTGCCAGATGGGACGGTAGGTGTGCTGCAGTTGCTGGGATCCACAGTCGCATTGGCCATGCATGAAACCACTCATTTAGGACAAGAGTCACTTGAAAAATTGTTAAGCCAGTACTTCTACATCTCACACTTGCCAGCCCTCGCCAAAGCAGTAGCACAACGGTGCGTTACTTGGCGACAGCACAATGCAAGGCAAGGCCCCGCTTTTCCGCTCGGCATACAAGATTATGGAATGGCTCCTTTTGAGGATCTTCAGGTGGATTTCACAGAAATGCCAAAATGTGGAAGTAAAAAGTATTTGCTGGTTCTTGTGTGTCCTTACTTTGGGGGGGTGGAGGCTTATCCAACACGAACTGAAAAGTCCTCCAAGACCTTATTCCTAGGTTTTGACGGTGTGTTTCTCCGAGAGCTTATTCCTAGGTTTGGACTGCCCTTATGAATCAGCTCTGATAATGGTCAGCGTTTGTGGCTGACTTGGTACAGAAGACAGCAAAGGCATTAGGAATCACTTGGAAGCTACATATCGCCTACTGACCTCAGAGTTCCAGAAAGGTGGAGTGAATGAATCAGACTATCAAAAATAGTTTAGGAAAAGTATGTCAGGAAACAGGATTAAAGTGGATACAGGCCCTTCCTATGGTATTGTTTAAAATTAGATGCACTCCTTCTAAGAAAACAGGATACTCCCCTTATGAAATACTGTATCATAGGCCTCCTCCTATACTACGGGAGCTTCCAGGCACTCCCTGAGAGTTAGGTGAAATTGAATTACAGCGACAGCTACAGGCTTTAGGAAAAATTACACAAACAATCTCAACTTGGGTAAATGAGAGGTGACCCATCAGCTTATTCTTCCCAGTTCACCCTTTCTCTCCAGGAGATCGCGTGTGGATCAAGGACTGGAATGTAGCCCCTTTGCGGCCACCGTGGAAAGGACCTCAGACCGTCTTCCTGACCACCCCCATGGCTGTAAAGGTAAAAGGAATCCCAGCCTGGATCCACCACAGCCATGTGAAACCTACAGCTGCTGAAACCTGAGAGGCAAAACCGAGCCCTGACAACCCCTGCAAAGTGACTCTGAGGAGGACCACAAGCCCTGCTCCAGTCACACCCGGAAGCTGACTGCTCTACGCATGGCTGAAGCATGAGGAGAATCATCATGGGACTCATTTTCCTTATAATTTGGACTGGTATAGTAAAAACTTCTACTGATTTTCCCTGCATGGAGGACTGCTCTCAGTGTATACATGATGTTACCGAGATAGGGCAACAAGTTAAAACAATCTTTCTGTTCTATAGTTACTATGAATGCCTAGGAACTTTAAAAGGGGAATGTTTATATAATGACACTCAGTACAAGGTATGTAGCCCAGGAAACGACCGACCAGATGTGTGTTATGACCCCTCTGAGCCTCCCATGCCCACAGTTTTTGAAATAAGATTAAGGACTGGAGACTGGTCGGGACTTATAAATGATACAAGTAAAGTATTAGCCAGAACAGAAGAAAAAGGGGTGCCCAAACACATAATCTTGAAATTTGATGCCTGTGCTGTCATTAACAGCAATAAGTTAGGAAGGGGATGTGGCTCTTTTTGTTGAGAAAAAGGCTATATGACCGAAAATAAGTACATTTGTCATGAATTAGGACTGTGTGGAAATGAATGTGGATACTGGTCTTGTATCATTTGGGCCACTTGGATAAAAAATGAAAAGGATCCAGTTCACCTTCAGAAAGGAAAAAATGGCCCTTCCTGTACTAAGGGACAATGTAACCCCTTAGAGCTAGTAATAACCAATCCCCTTAATCCCCGCTGGAAAAAAGGGGAGCGTGTGACCTTAGGAATTGATGGGGCCAGACTGGATCCTCGAGTAAGAAGAAGTTTACAAACGCTCTCCTGAGCCTGTGTTTCAAACCTTCTATAATGAACTAAATGTGCCAGTAGCAGAAATTCCAGGAAAAACAAGAAAATTGTTTTTGCAATTAGCTGATCATGTAGCCCAGTCTCACAATGTCACTTCATGTTATATATGTGGAGGAACTGTAATGGGAGATCAATGGCCATGGGAATCTAGAGAATTAGTACCTACAGACCCAGTTCCTGATGAATTCCCAGCTCAAAAGAATCACCCTGGTAATTTCTGGGTCCTAAAAGCCTCAATTATTGGACAATATTGCATAGTTAGAGAAGGAAAAGAATTCACTGACCTCGTAGGACTACTTAGTTGTCTGGGATGGAAACTGTATGATGGTACCACGAAAACACTCACTCAGTGGAGTTCAAATCACACAAAGATAAATCCATTTAGTAAATTACCCAAGTTGCAAACCTTGTGGACCCACCCGGAGTCCCACTGGGACTGGATAGCCCCCACTGGATTATACTGGATATGTGGGCAGAGAGCTTATGCCAAATTACCTGACCAGTGGGCAGGTAGTTGTGTTATTGACACTATTAAAGCATCTTTCTTCTTACTGCCCATAAAAACAGGCAAACTCCTGGGCTTCCTTGTCTATACTTCCCGAGAAAAGAGAAGCATAGCTATAGGAAATTGGAAAGATGATGAATGGCCCTCTGAGAGAATCGTACAATATTATGGGCCTGTAACCTGGGCACAAGACAGCTCGTGGGAATACCAGACCCCCATTGACATGATCAACAGAATCATACAGTTACAAGTTTTCTTAGAAATATTCACTAATAAAACTGGCAGAGCCTTGACTATTCTGGCTAGCAAGAAACTCAGATGAGAAATGCTATCTATCAAAATAGATTGGCTCTCGACTACTGCTAGGACTGAAGAGGATCTGTGGAAATGTAACCTTACTAATTGCTGTCTACACATAGATGATCAAGGGCAAGTAGTTGAAGACACAGTTAGAGATATGACATAACTGGCACATGTGCCCATGCAAGTGTGGCATGGATTTGATCCTGCGGCCATGTTTGGAAAATGGTTCCCTGTGCTAGCAGGATTTAAAACTCTTATAATAGGAGTTATAATAGTAATAGGAACCTGCTTACTGCTCCCTTGTTTGCTACCTGTACTTCTTCAAATGATAAAAAGCTTCATCACTACCTTAGTTCACCAAAATGCTTCAGCACAGGTGTACTGTATGATTCACTATCAATCTGTCTTGAAAGAGGACATGGGTAGTGAGAATGAAAGTGAGAACTCCCACTATTGAGTGAGATTCTAAGAGCTGGTGGGGGGCAATAAGGGAGCAGACCACCCCTCCTATTGTCTTATGTCCAATTTCTGCCTCCAAAGAAAGAAATAAAAATGAAAAGGCAGAAATGAAATCCAGAAGCAGACAGCCCGGCACCACACCCCTGACCTAATTGGTTACATTATCTATAGATTACAGACATTGTATAGAAAGGCACTGTGAAAATCCCCATCCTGTTCTGTTCCAATCTAATTACTGGTGCATGCAACCCCCAGTCATGTACTCCCTGCTTGCTCAATCAATCACGACCTTCTCAAGTGGACCCCCTTAGAGTTGTGAGCCCTTAAAAGGGACAGGAATTGCTCACTCAGGGAGCTCAGCTCTTGAGATAGGAGTCTTGCCAATGCTCCTGGCCAAATAAACTACTTCCTTCTTTAACTCGTTGTCTGAGGGATTTTGTCTGCAGCTTGTCCTGCTACACACCTAGCTCATTTCATGGGAGATACTTAAGAGAGCACTGTGTTCTCATTGTATGGTGACATTCCTAAGCTGTTGCCTTAGAAAGGCTCAAAGAGAGAGCCTTTTCTTATAATATGAACATTGGCTCAGCCTGCATCCTTGATGCCTCTGTCGATTTGGCAAGAGGCACCCACAGGTAACACAGTGTAGCCCAGGGCAGGTCTGTCGGTCTGTCCATGCCAGGCCTCTCTTATCGTCTACACTGGGCAACCCCACTTGTCCCACCATAACCATGTGATGCAGGGGGAGCAGGAAAGGAGGGGGCTCTTCCTGACAGGGGCAGGTTGTCAGGAGTTGGAATCCTGGTGGATCTGTCTGTCATGTTCACATCCAGGTCATGGCTGGTGGAATAAAAGTTTGAGTGTTAGAGACCAAGTGTGTCTACTCAGATGTGAATCCAAGGGGCTTAAGCTGTTCTCTGGTTTCCTCACTGGCTGGGAGTCTATACAAATGCCATGTGCCTGATCTGGGGGGGCAGAATTTCTAATGGGGATGTCACCTTGTGGTAAAATCAAGGCAGATCATTTTTTTTTTTTTTATTTTTGGCGTAACTGCTGGGCACTCTCTTTACAGAGCTGCATTAAAATCGATGAGCAGCTGTTTGATGGGTTAAACTCCCCCATCTCCTTTTACAAGGGGCAGGTTTACTACACCACCAAGCATGGCCCTCAGCGAGCTATTGTTGTAACCGAGTAAGGTAAAGAGAAACGCCACACTCTGAGGTGAATTCAGGAGTCCTTTATTAGCTGGCGACTGAGAGACAGCTAGTGCTCAAAATTCTCTCTGCCCCGAAGAAGGGGCTAGATTTGTTTTACTACCATGGTTTGAATAGGGGAGGGGGAGCTTAGCTAAAGCAATTTTTACAGAAGCAGAACTGGCAAAAGTTAAAAAAATAAATTGGTTACAAAGGCAGTTACAAAAAATAAACAGTTCCAGGTGCAGGGACTTAAACTATCACAAAGAGATAAATGCATGGGCTTCAGGTGTCATCCACCCGAGTGCATCCCCAGGAGCTGCCGGTTCAGCTTGCCTCAGTATCTTATCAGCAAGTGCATCCCTGGATGTGCTTGGAGTCAGCTTGCATTAGTTATGCCCTTAAGGGAGGGAGGAAAAGGGGCTGTAAGTGAAGGAACTAAAATGGAGTCTGTCTGACTCTCTCAGCTAAGAGAGACAATCAGGTTAAAACAAGACAGGGTATCACATTCTCCACTCGTGTTTTGGAGGAATCAAATCATTGATTCCTTGGTTATAACAAGGGAGTTATATTGGGTTCCAGGATACATAAGTTTGATAGAAGCTATGCGCTGCTTTATAAAGTTAAGAAACCAATTTAATAGACAAGCCCCAAATGCTAAACCTAACAAGAGGAGGAGAAGGGGTCCCGCCAATCCAGTAATTAGAATAGTTAGCGTGGATTCCAGTTAAACACACTTTGGTACTGGGGGTGTTATTTTCTCGCTCCCGTTGGCATCTATCCAGATTTTCTTGAACTTTTTGGAGAGTATCTTTTATGACTCCAGACTGATTGGCATAGAAGAAACGACTCTCTCCCAGAGCAGCACATAATCCTCCTTGGGAGAGAAATAGCAGATCTAAGCCTCGGTGATTTTGAAGGACTACTTCAGCTAGAGACTCTACCTGGGTATGCTGTATATTTATGGCTTATTGGAGATTGCTTAAATCTGCATCTACTTGTTGGGACAGGGACATTAGTCCAGTTTCCCCTTGAACCAGGGCAGCTGTGCCAATGGCTGCTGATCCAGCTATGCTAAGGCCTGCCTGAAGGGGCACAAGGAGTGGGGCAGCTCGGCCAAACCTGGAATGTAATTCAGGGGGAGCAATGAGAAGTTGTCCTTCTGGCCTGCTGTACACGTAGACCTGGGGGAGCACATGAACCAACACGCACAGAAGAGGCCCCAGTTCGTCCCATTGATGCAGCTAGTGAGGCCTGAAGTGCAGGTCAGCCAGGTATAGTTGGGTGCCTGGTAGGAGACTGAGGTATTTAAGTAAGTAAGTAAGTACAGACTTATTAAAGGTAGCCTGAAAGGGAGAAGCAGAGAAGTTATACCTGCAACTAATTAGACAGGAGGCATTTCCTGACACATCTCCTAGTGTAAGGGCATGGGGCCGTGTATGACAAGAAAGAGGGTTAACTTTGAACATGGTTTCTACTCCTAACCCAACATAATGTGGGGGTTTGGCCTTTAAGCACAACCAGCAATCTTGGGCTAGCTTAGGCTGGGTGCTGTATCCCGTCCAGAATGGACATCAGGCTGGGTTGAAGAAGTCATTGTAACTGAGATCTGGGAAAAAGGAGTGGCAGTGGGATAGTTAAATCGGCCCTGTCTGGGTATCTTTGGAAAATAGGGTCACCTAAATCTGTTAAAGGCCCGATTGGCTTAGGAGGGCTTCATGGGACCAGGACCTTTTTCTGAATGGTGAACATAGTTCCAGCGTCAAATCCCAAAATATAAGGCCTTAATCCCCATGACATATCATAATACCATTGAGCTGAATTAGAGTTCCGGCCAGTTACAGTGAGAGGGTTACAATTTCTTATGGTACACGGTCTAGGATGGGAAGTACGAGTTATGGAAAGGGTTGAGGACCAGATTGATCCTTCAGGATAAGTGGCTAGGGTTACACACTACCAGTGAGGACAGAAAAACTGGTAAGAATCTCGACAGCTAGAGTCAGGGTGATTTCCAGGACAGAGGTAAAAGTCAAATGCCTTCGAGTCCTTTTTCTCACCTTTAGCTCTCACATCCAGTCCGACTTCCTGTGTGTCTGAATCCTGCAGTATGGTCGACATTTCCCGCTCCCATGACCAGTAGATTGCATCGTTCTTCATGAGTATGGGCAGGCTCTGGGAACAAAGCACATAAATCAACTGCAAAAGAGACTTCCTTGGAGGTTCCTGCCTTCCAAGTAGTGTTTGCAAACACACGTCCTTTCGTGAAAGAAGTGAGGAGAGAAGAGTAGGATGGAGCAGAGAGTATAATAGGTGGAAACAAACAAAAGAGGTAAATAAAAAGGATTAATTTGATGGCTTCATTTGACTTAGGTGCAGTTTTAAGGGGCCTGGCCCTGGCTTGGTGACCCATGTTTTCTGCTGGGCTCTATTGGCTTCCTTGATGTGAGAGTGATGAATCCAAGCAGGGATGCCCTCTACCTCCAGAGCCGTCAGCATGGTGAGAATGACAGTATGAGGTCCCTTCCAGGCAGGAGTGAGTCATTCTTTCTGGAACTTTTAAACATATACCAGGTCACCTGGCTGGAAAGAGTGGCAGGGTCCAGTCTGGTCAGGAACTGGATTGGAGTGTGCTACCTGGGCAAGCAACCGGATGATATCTCATACCTTCTTGAATTTTACTGGCCTGAAGATCTGAAATTTGTTTTTCTTCTCCTGGGGCGTATTCTGGGTGGTCTGGCAAGTCAGGTTGTGGAAAGGACACTGCAGGCAGCCGGGTCAGAGGGGAAACTGGGAGCCGAGCTGCCTCCCGAGCTGCAGATTCTGCTCTTTGGTTACCACAGGCAATGGGCATGCTCTCTTTGATGTGCTTTGCAGTGAAGTACAGCCACCTGCTGAAGAAGCCAAACACCTTCAAGCAGGGCCAAAATTTCTTCTGTGTTTTTAATAGTATTTCCTGCTGAGGTGAGTAGCCCTCACTCTTGATCGATGGCTCCGTGTACATGTACAGTAGCAAAAGCATACCTGCTGTCGGTGTAAATGTTAATACGTTTGTCCTTACCCAATCAGAGAGCCTGAGTGAGGGTGACCAATTCAGCCTTCTGTGCTGAGGTACCTGCCGGCAACATCTGGGCCCAGTGTATATCTGTCTCCATAGTAATGGCTACACCAGCTTTTCGTACTCCCTGTTCAAGGAAGCTGCTACCATCTGTAAACATAGTGGTGTCTGCCTCCTTTAGGGGCATATCTTGGAGATCAGGTCAGCCAGTTTCCGTAGTCTCTAATAGTTCTTGGCAGTCATGGACAGGTGTGGTAAGGTCTGGATCAGGGAGCAAGGTAGCTGGATTTAAACACCTGTCTCTTGGTGGTGGGAGTGAGGATTTGCAGGACGGCTTCCTTTCTAGCACTGGTGAGTGCCCTTTTTCTTTTGTTTATCTCGTACCCTAGGTAGGAAACTCTGGGAAGAGAAAGCTGGGCCTTCTTGGCTGAGATCCGATACCTGAGTTCCTGGAGAAGGTCAAGCAGGGTCCTAGTATGTTGCAGGCAGCAGTCAGTAGTTTCAGTAGCTAATAAAAGGTCGTCCACTTACTGGAGAAGAGTGTAGTTAGGGTGACTGACTCGGAATGGTATGAGGGCTTGTTGGAGGGCTTCTTCAAAAACTGTAGGGGAATTTTTAAAACTTTGGGGTAATCGAGCCCAGGTTAATTGGGTGGTGTCTCCCGAGCCAGGATCTGTCCATTCAAAAGCCAAGATAGGTTGGCTTTTGGGGGCCAGAGGAATAGCAAAGAAGGCATCCTTTAAGTCAAGGACAGTGTATACTGTATGTTCTGGTGGGAGTAGGCTGAGTAAAGTATAAGGGTTAGGGACAGTTGGATGGACAGTAACTGTCCACTTGTTAACTTCTCTCAAGTCCTGTACAGGCTGGTAATCATTTGTTCTGTGTTTCTGTACTGGCAAAAATGGAGTATTCCAGGTGGACTGACAAGGTGTGAGTATACCAGCTTGTAACTGTAGCTGAATATGGGGATTTATCCCCTCTCTAGCCTGCTGACTCATAGGATGTTGTTTTACCTGTACTGGCAGGGTGGTGGCCAGGAACTCTACAACTACTGGTAGATGGTGCTTTGCCAGTCCTGGGGGGTTTGACTCAGCCCAGACTGGAGGAAAGAGAGTCTGTAAATCAGTAGGAAAGGATTAGTTTTATTCTCCAGCGGTTGTGAGGCTGAAATGAAGAGATATTCTTCTGATGGGGAGTGGTTAGCAGGAGATGAGCAGTAGGGGGCGTTGTGTCCCCTAAAGTGAGGTGAGCTTGTTGGGCCGAGAAGGAGATAGACGCCTACAGCTTATAAAGCAGGTCTCGTCCAAGGAGTGCTGAGGGGCACTCTGGAACTACAAGAAATGCGTGGATTACTCTTTTGTGTCCCAAATTCACCTCTCAGGAGTGGGTGACAGGGTATTTCTGAATAGCTCCAGTAGCCCCTTGCACAGCCACCTTTTTATTAGAGACACTGCCCAAGGGCATTTGCAGCACTGAGTGTTCCACTCCAGTATCAATTAGGAAGCATACAGGCCGGCCCCCCAACTGTGGCAGTCACCATGGTTTCCCGGGGGCCAAGGGAGAGGGAGCCCCAGCCCCGTCAATCATCAAATTCCTCTGCAGTGGGGAGGGTGAGGGCTTTTCTCTTCTCTGGTTTTTCTTCTGGTTTTAACGGGCATTCCTTTTTCCATTGTCCAATCTACTTGCAATAAGCACATTGGTTTTTTTGTAGGGGAGCTTGCTCACCATTTTGGCCTTTTTGGTGGGGACACGGGATCTCCTGGCCAGTGCTCTGTGCTGGGGGCCCTTCCCTCCTGGCTTCTTGGATGGCAGCCACTAAGATTTTTGCTTGTCTTTTTGACACTTTGTTAGCAGCCTTTTTAGCTGCCTGAGCTGCCTGTTTTTGCTTTTCAAACTCTTGATTGTCAAAAACTTTCTGGGCTATTTCTAAAAGCTGACTGATGTTCATTCCAGCAAATCCCTCTAATTTTTAAATTTTTTTCTAATATCAGGGACTGCCTGAGCCACAAATGCCAAATTAACAGCACAGCTATTCTTGGGAGCCACCAGGTCAAAAGGGGTGTAAGTCAAATAGGCCTCCTGGAGGCATTCCAAAGACACTCCTGGTGACTCATCAGGACCCTGGACAACTTCAGTTGCCTTACATAAATTTATGGGTTTTTGAGCAGCTCCTTTGATACTAGTGAGGAGATACTGGTGAAAATCATCCAAGGCTCTCTTCCCCACTGAGGAGTTTGGATCCCAGTTAGGCTGGGTAGAGGGAAAAACTTCCTCAAGGAAGTCTTGGGCTTTCTCCTCTGGTCTACTGGCTGATGTAATGAAATACTTCCTAGCCTCCCTCTGGATATGGTCCCTGTCTTCAGAAGTGAAAAGGATTAAAAGGAGTTGTTGACAGTCATCCCAGATGGGCTGGTGAGTCAGGAGCACAGACTCCATCAGTGAGGTCAAGACCTGGGGCTTTTCAGAAAAGGGAGGATTATGAGATTTCCGATTGTATGGGTCAGAAGTAGAGAAGGGGACATAAACTAAAAGTGGAGCAGAGCGCTCACTGCCCAGAGGGATTTGTGCCTCTCTCAGCAGGAGAAGGGGGGCTACCTCCTTCTGCCAAGGCCGTAATCAGGAGGCTATAGACAGAGAGGTCACAGGGGATGTAGTCACAGAGACTAGGGAAGATTCTGGGAGAGCAGGAGGGTTGTAGGGGGGCGGACATGGGTGAGAAAAATTTTCCTCTTCTTTAGAAGGAGGCAGTACAGGAGGAGATGAGGGAGTTGAGGGTTGGGGCAAAAGTGCGGTCTGGCTCAAAAGGACCTTGGAGGTGGGATCATGAATGATGCATGAGCGGAGCCATGCAGGAGGACTCTGGACAAAACTCAGCCATTGATCAATATAGGGAAACTGATTGGGGTGACCGGGAGTTCCAGCAATGACCCGCCACACAGACTGAACAGCTGTGGGGTTCAGTGACCCTTCTGGGAGCCACCCAGTTCCAAGCTGTGGCCATTCTACTTCAGAGTGTCCAGAGTTTGGCTTTCTTAAGGCAGACTCCGTAATCCTCTGAGAAACCTGGAGAGAAATTCTGTAACATATATTGGAGAGGGCTCCAATCTTTACGGGGCCGGGAAGAAGAGCTCCCCATTCTGGAGGCAATTAACAAGTTCTAAGCAGAAATATTAAACCCAGCATGAACAGAGAAATTCACGATCTGGGGAGCAGTAGTACCGGCAGAACAGAAGTATTATAGCCAGAAGAAGTAGGAAAACAACTATAGCCAACACTTCTGGCCTCATAAGGTCTGTTTCTTTAAGTTTTGAGATCTAGGAGGAGGAAAAGAGGTGAGTCTGAGGCCAATGGGACCTACGTGATCCCCTCCTACTTTCTGACTTATAGCCCAAATATCTTTGGTGTCTCCACAACTCAAAGGCAAAATATTCAAACTCGGCCCTTTCTTTTAAGGGTTTTAGGAGGGAGAGTAGAGTCAAGTCTTGGAGGCACTGGACTTGCTGTGACACAGGAAAACGAGATGTGCGGGGTAAGGGATGGGGATGAGGAGGAAAGGGGCCACTCGGATCTCTCCTAAGTTAGGAGAGTAGCCACAGAGGGATAGAATAAGAGACCAGGTGCAGCAAGGTGGTACAGGCATAGGTTTCTCTGCACAGTGCCTTATCTAAGGGCATGGGAAAACTTATGGGATGACAGAAAAGGTGAGCAAGGAGGTCTGCAGGGTGGCTATTTTGAATCCACAACTGTTCTAAGGAGGAGGTAGTCCAGTCACTGGAGCCTGCGGCGTGGCAATCCAAATGCCAGCAATCTTTACTGTGTCAGAAATCCCAAATGGGTGAATGTTTCCCACACCCCTCCCCACAACAACACCAGATTTCTTTCTGACAGAAAAGGCAGGACTGGGAAGGCCAGCCCAAATGACTGATGAGAAATTTGACCTCCTGCGTTGGAAAATCTGCACTCAGGACTTTGAAGAAGTCCTTGCCCAGTAGTTTTGGGCAATATCGATGACCTGACATGTGAAACTTAGACAGACACCAGACAGGACAAAAGACACTGGGGTATACAAATAATCATGACAATTTTTATAGACAGACAAGGGGAGGGGGTCCCGTGATGGGATCAGTTAGATGCCCACCTGGCCACTCCCCCGGAGGGGACTTAGGCTCCTCTTGGCATTCGCAGGCTGGTATAAAACCCCGGCTCAGATCAAGCTATGCCCGATGCTGTCTTAAGCCTTATGAGGTCGCCACAGAACCGCAGGGGAGGGCCCACTCAAACTCTATAGCTTTCACCATGGAGCTCCAAACTGGAAATTCAGACACAAGCCCTTGAACTCCACTTTCACACACCCACTCACACAGAGTTTATTACAGTTCTTTATTCCTGTTCTAAAACAGAGGTCTCCCAGAGACCTGAATGAGAGAAGAAGAGAAAGAGAGGGCGAGAGAGTGACTAGTCTTACAGAGAAGCCTGACAGAAACCAGGACTCTGTCCTCCAGTGTCCTGGAATGTGAACAGAATCAGAGGGATTCCCTCGTCAGGGCTGCTTCCCTCCCAGAGAAACAGAATCAGACAGAAACCAGAAACCAGGACTCTGCCTTCCAGCATCCGGGAATGTGGGCAGAGTCAGAAGGATGCTCTCATCAGGGCCATTTCCTTCCCAGAGAAACAGAGTGAGACAGAAATCAGAAACCAGAAACCAGGACTCTGCCTTCCAGCATCCTAGAATATGGGCAGAATCAGAGGGATGCCCTCCTCAGGGCTGCTTCCCTCCCAGAGAAAGAATCAGATCTGACTTACCTTCTCAGGACCAGAAATGGGGAACTCAGGAGTTGATTTTGGTGGGCACACACGGGCAGTCGATCCATTCCCCTCTGGAAGATGGTGGCCTATGTGGCCCTGGAACTTCTTCAGGTGGCACCCCCCAATAAGCCCACCATCTGTCTGGGGGAGCCCTGAGAGAGTCCGGCACTCACCCCGTGGCGATTAGCTCACTGGGGCCTCCAAATGTAACCGAGCGAGGTATGGAGAAATGCCACACTCTGAAACGAAATCAGGAGTCCTTTATTAGTGGGAGACTGAGAGACAGCTAGTGCTCAAAATTCTTTCTGCCCCGAAGGGGTTAGATTTGTTTTTATACCATGGTTTGAATAGGGGAGGGGGAGCTTAGCTGAAGCAATTTTTACAGAAGCAGTACTGGCAAAAAGTTAAAAAAATAATTGGCTACAAAGGCAGTTACAAAAAATAAACAGTTCCAGGTGCAGGGGCTTAAACTATCACAAAGAGATAAATGCAGGGGCTTTAGGCACCATCCACCAAGAGAATTCCCAGGAGCTGCTTGTTCAGCTTGCCTCAATATCTTATCAGTAAGTGCATACCTGGATGTGCTTGGAGTCAGCTTGCACTAGTTATGGCATTAAGGGAGGGAGGAAAAGGGGGCTGTAAGTGAAGGAACTAAAATGGAGTCTGTCTGGTTCTCTCAGCTAAGAGAGACAATCAGGTTAAAACAAGGTAGGGTATAACACTATGGTGAGAGCAGACACACGGGAGTCTCTACAGACGGGGGCCTGAAAAGACTAGGATGGGCCCAGGACCCAGACCCAAACATGGACTCCCTCTTGGCTCTGTCTTAAAGCTTTTTTCTATGAGTGACTCAAAGGTTTGCCCCCCAAAATCTGGCCTTCATTAGTCCCAATGACATCTCGGTTAGGTATAAATCCCTGTTTACAAACTTGTAGAAATATCACAGAAGACCTTTGTGTTGTCTTTACTTTACACTAGGCTGTATTTATTCATGTTGCTACAGTTTGTATTGTTTTAACTATTTGCCCCAGGTGTCTTCTGTAGCAGGTGGCTTCACTGTACTGCCAGAGTTTCTCTGAGACTTAAAAGCCACTACTTAAAAGCCACTACTACTAGGGAGATTTGTACACAAAAATAGGGAAGATGTTACATGAAAAATAGATTACATTGTTCCATGCATTTGTCTGCAATGTGTCATCTCAGAGAACTCATCCTTGTAGTTCATCAGGGCATAAGCCATGCCTTCACATGTCTTTGTAGTGTTCTATAAAAGGAGGTCTTTTCCCAGAGTGGTTTAACCTTTCAATGTTGGTGGAGCCTGCCATAGTAACATTCTATTTTCATTTTAGCTGTAATGCAGAAAACATTATGTGTGTCTTGATTGGCTGTAACAGTTTACTTGGGCTTCCATAACCCAATACCATGGACTGAAGGTCTCATAATTCTGGAGGCTAGACATTCAACATCAAGCTATTGGCTGGAGTGGTTTCTTTAATGCCTCTTGCTACTTGAGATGAGATGACCACCTTCTATTTCTGTTTTCACAGGGTCTTCCCTTGAGCCTCTCTGTGTCTTTACTCTTTTTAAAAGACTCCAGTCATATTAGATTAGGGTCCACTTTACTTAACTTACTTAATCATAGTCACCTTTTTAAGGACCATATGTCCAAACACTCTCTCACAATTTGAGGATGATTACATTATATATGCCTGAGTATATCAACATATAAATATTAGAATATCAACATATAAATTTGGGAGAAAAGACAATTTAGAACATAATCTGCATTAATCCCCTGTTGATGGTAGATTCCCAGGAAAGTGATTACTGGGTGAAAGAATATACATATGTAAAATTTTTATAGCTACAGGCAGATGACTTTCCACAAGGTCTGTGGCAAGTATATTGCTATCAGCAGTCCCTGAATATAGCTGCTTCTCTGGACCCAGCCTACCCTGGATGTTAACATTCTTTGAATTTTTTGACCATCTCAGGTCTGTGGGGCAAATAAAAACACATTGTTCCTTTTATTTCCAGTTTTCCAACTGATATTTTTGAGTCACCTTTTAGTTGTTATTTTAAATATGGATTTGGGTTTTCTGTTCCTCAAGTTATCTGTGTTTTCTCATCTCTGCACTGAGGACTTTTTTGGAGAACTCAGTGGGAAAATGCACTTCATACAGGCTATTAACACTGATGGGTGCTGTTGCTTCACAGCTGACAAAATTTCATGAGAATTTCTTGAATTCTCAAGAATTTCAGTGATTAGATTGTCACCCACCCTCATATAAAAATTTTTAAAAAGTCTAAAACTTTTTTTTTGTCAGGCACACGCATGTCCTCCACATTCACAAGAAGAAATGTCTGTGCCTGGACATGGTGGCTCACACCTGTAATCCCAGCACTTGGGATGTCAAGTGGATCACCTGAGGTCAGGAGTTAGAGACCAGCCTGACCAACATGGAGAAACCCCGTTTCTACCAAAAATGCAAAATTAGTCAGGTGTGGTGATGCATGCCTGTAAGCCCAGCTACTTGGGAGGCTGAGGCAGGAGAATCATTTGAACCCAAGAGGCAGAGGTTGCAGTGAGCTGAGATTGCACCACTGCACTCCAAGCTGGGCAATGAGAGTGAAACTCCATAAAAAAAAAAAAAGAAGGAAAAGAATAGTAGAATGTATGTTCATGCTTCTGGCTTTTGGGGCTTTTCCAAAGAGTGGTTTCTGTCTGCCATGACACGGAATACTCAAAGACATGGTTGTATACTTCAAATGACAGTTTGATTTGGCTGAGACCAAAGATCATAAAAGAAAATGAATCTTGAGAAAAGATTTGAGAGATCTTCAGAATTTCTAGGCCAACCAGATTGTGTCAGACTCCCTCTGGACAAAGCCACTATATAAAAACTGTGACTGGTAATTTTTTTAAATGTCCAAGTTTAATGGACATATATAACATAATATAATATAATCAGTCAAAAATTACAATATATACAGAGTATTAGGGTATCATGGCCCATAAAAAAAACAAGATAAATATCCAGAAATCTACCCTAAAGAAATGGAGCTGTATAAATTACCTAAAATTTTTTAAAATAATTATCTAAATGGTACTCAGTGAGCAAAATGTGTGCACAGACAACTAAATAAAGTCAAAAAAAGTGAGAACATACACAATAAGATAAAAAATAGTAAAAAGCAAATTACGGAGTTGAAGAATATAAAAATAAATAATGCCTGAGAAATTGTCAAATTAAGAAAAAAGCATAAAAATGTAAAAGTTCAACAAATTTTAACTAGGATAAACACAAAAAGATTCATAATGAGAAAAATTATAAGCAAAGTTTTGAAAGTCACAGACTAGTAGATAATCTTGAAAGCCAAAAAAGAAAAGCATGTGTTATTTATAAGGGTGCTTCTATGAGACAATCAGTGAATCTACTGCGAGAATCTTGCCGGCAGAAGGGACAGTGGTAATATAGTCAATGTTCTGAAAGAACACAAACTTTTAAGTAATAATACTATATCCAGATAAACTATTTATCAAAATGAAGAAAAAGTAAAGTCCTTTAATGATGACCACATACTACAAAGCCACTACACCTGCACTACCAGAAATGCTAAAGAGAGTTTTTCTCATTAAAAATAAAGTGATGCTAAACAGCATTGCAAAATTACATGAAAGTACATAGCTCTCTGGAAAAGACATATACAGGCAAAAAACCAAAGTTCTGATGAATTCCAATGATGGTTCATAAAACATATGTAATTATGTTGTATAATTAAAAAACAAAAGCCTAAAAATATTCAAAAACCTTTGTTAATGATATATAATATAAAAAGATATTAGTGACATCAATAATATAAAGTTGAGGCAGATGGAAAGAGGAAGAATATGTGTATGCAACTAAAGTTGAGTTGTTACTGGCCAGGCATGGTGGCTCATGGCTGAAATCCCAGCATTTTGGGAGGCCAAGGCAGGTGGATCACTTGAGGTCAGAAGTTTGAGACCAGCCTGGCCAACATGGTGAAACTCCGTCTCTACTAAAATTACAAAAAAATTAGCTGGGCATGGTGACAGGCACCTGTAATCCCAGTTACTCGGGAAAGTGAGGCAAGGGAATCACTTAAACCTGGGAGGCAGGGTTTGCAGTGAGCTGAGACCACGCCATTACACTCTAGCCTGGGCGACAGAGTGAGACTCCATCCAAAAAAAAAAAAAAGTTAATTTAAAATATATTGTAACTTTAAGAGGTTTTATGGGCCAGGTGCGGTGGCTCACGCCTATAATCCCAGCACTTTGGGAGGCTGAGGCGGGTGAATCACGAGGTCAGGATTTCAAGACTAGCTTGGCCAACATGGTGAAACCCCCCCATCTCTACTAAAAACACAAAAAATTAGCCAGGCGGTGGTGGGCGCCCGTAATCCCAGTTCCTGGGAAGGTTGAGGAAGGAGAATCATTTGAACTCAAGAGGCAGAGGCTGCAGTGAGTTGAGATCGTGCCACTGCACTCCAGCATGGGCTACAGTGTGAGACTCTGTCTCAAAAAAAAAAAAAAAAAAAAAGAGAGAGAGAGAGAGAGATTTCTATGTAATCCCCATGGCAACTACAAGGAAAATATTTATAGAGACCCGCACACACACACACACACACACACACACACACAAATACATTAAAGCATGTCACTACAAAAATCAACACAAAAATGAAGATTAAAAAGAGTGAGTAAAGGGGACCACATAGCTATAAAAATCAAAGAAAACAATGAGAAAAGTAAGTTCTTCACTTTCAAAAACCTATTTTAATATTTATGAACTAAACTTTTCAATCAAAACATGTAAATTGAATAGAGGGATTAATAAACAAAGCCCAACTGCATCCTCTCCGTAAGTGACTCGCTTTAAATCTAATGTCAAAACTAGACTGAAAGTAGCAAGATGAAAGTAGACTTTTGATGTAAATGGTAATCCAAATCAGTGCTAGTCATAACTGTGTTAGGAAAAATACATTTTGGTCATAGTTCATAAAATAAACTTTAAGTCTAAACTGTCACAGGAGACAAAGAAGGCCATTAAATAATAATAAAAGGGTTTATTCACTGAGAACTTATGAAATTCTATTATATATATGTATGTATATATATATGTGTATATATAATTCTCACACCAGTGTTCCCAAATGTATAAAGCAAACATTGAAATAATTATTACAATAGACAGAAAAATAATAATAGTAGAATACTTTAATTCAAACTTTCAGTAATAATTAATAAAACTA